ACCTACAGCCAAGGTGGAGCATTGCATGGTGTTATTAGTTATTAATAATGGGTTATTGTTGATGATACGAGACAATTGTCTGCATTTTGCATATTTCTTTGGGTAAACACTGGGTTACTATGGAGAGTGTTTGTTTTCTTTCGATATGATCTAAGTTTTGCCGTGTTTAACTCCTTTTATTGAAGTCCGGGGTGGTTGCAGTGTAAACATCATCTGGTTTCTTAGGTCACGTGTGACGTCACAATGAGGGTTGCTGCGTTCTAGCCTTCTTACAGACACACAGGCAGGGAATACATGGCGTGAAGCTGGCTGATTTCGAAATGAATTAACCACATTAAGGACTATTAATAATTTATTGTGTAACACAAGAAAAACTTGCTTAAGATTCTTGTCAAAGACCAATTCAAGGATGGTAATTAGGATAATTAATTTCCCTACACAAACAGCAAAACACGCCAACATTGGCTCCATTTCCAGAACGCCCGTCAACAAATCCTAGGGGCTGGCTCCCTAGAAAAATAATTAAACAAGTTTTACGTAGCATGGACGCTCCATGAACGGTCTTTGTAATGGGTTGTGTTGCTTATCTTAAAATAAAATAACAAAAAAAAAAAGAATTACAAGTTTTAGATTACCATATTTTAAACTGAAACATTTCCACCAATTCTTTCAGTTCAGTTAGTTTGGCCAAAAAAACAAAACGTCTTGTCATTTATTATCACACAAACAATAAGGATGAACAAACCGTGTGACTCATCATTCCTGGCTTCGTGCTAATAGAAGAAAATAAAATCTGGGATAAAAGTTTATTTCACTCTCTCTATGTGCTAATTATAAGAGATCTGTTTCTATTCTACTATTCGATAGATGTCAGAAGTAAAAAGTCTGTCTTCTTTCTTATTGTCACGTAAAATATTGGAATCTCGGAAGAGTCCCTCCGATCCTTTACCTCCTCACACTGCGCTATGGGATTAGACATTTAATTAATTACTCAACTGGGGTTCCAAGGGACCCCCAAATACCTGACTGGGGGACTCGTCATTGGTTCTTCTTTTTCTCGAACTGTGGGGAATAAAGGGTTAATAATCCATTGGGGGGGAAGTCACTGCTCTTAAAAATGTAATCACCCCTTGGCCATTGGCAGTGGGGGAGACATTAATTAATTAGCTGGTGCATGCAAACAGATATTTAATTACTTAAAGTGTATAGATCTAAAACCTTACGCACAATTACGTGTTGGAAATTAGTACATATTAACGAACTTCTGATTTTTGTGGGCCTGAATTGGATGCATAGTAAGTAGCACCTTAGGCTTTAAAAGGTTTTTCCGGCTCTGCAAAATGGATTATTTTTGTTATTGGGGGTTTTGCAGATGACACAAAACTCTGTAAAGTAATAAAATGTGAGCAGGATATTGCTTTGCTGCAGAGGGATTTTGATAGATTGGTGGACTGGGCACTAAATTGGCAGATGAAATTTAACGTAGAGAAATGCAAAGTTATGCACATCGGGGTCAAGAATGCACAAGCAATTTACACCCTAAATGGTAGTGAATTAGGGATAACCACACACGAGAAGGATTTGGGAATTGTTATAGACAACAAATTAGGCAGCAATATGCAATGCCAATCTACAATCGCTAAGGCCAGTAAGGTTTTGTCATGTATAAATAGGGGCATAAATTCTCGGGATGAAAATATAATTTTGCCTCTTTATAAATCGCTGGTAAGACCACACCTT